GGTGCCCCAGACCATAATTACCATGCTCTGTATCACTGGGGCAATTTCTCTCTGTGTCTGCCACAAACTGGCACTGCTGTTGCCTTTACAGCCTTGCTTAGAAAACTAGGGTGCAGACCATGAGTGTCAGGGCTAGAATCAAAGCCCAGACCTCTGAACCCACCCCTTAATTCCTGTATCCTGGGAACAGGGCAAGTTGTGAATGTTTCGTTCCCCTTGAGGCGATGAATGAGGGCTGGAAAGATGGCTCAGTGGGCCGGGGCACTTTCTGCTAAGTCAGACAGCCTGAGTTTAGTCCCTGGGACTCATGTAGTAGGATAGAAAGGACTTGTACAAACAGTCCTCTGACCTCCACACATTTGCTATCGCATGTGCTTGGAGACACACACAGACACTTGTAATAAATAAAGAAGTGTTAAAGGTTCTGAATGAACACACATACACACACACACACACACACACACACACACAAAACTGTGGCCTTCATGGCCTGTGAAGGTAGATAGAATTAGGCTGAACGGTGCTGGGACTGCAGACTCAGTTCATTTAGTGACATTTTTTTCAGTTGTGTATGATTTGATGGGGGAGGGATATTTGTCTTGTTCTCACTGTTTTTGAGCAGAGTCTCATAGCGATAGCCCAGGCTGGCCTTACACTCTTGGTCCTCCTATCTCTGCCTCCATAAAGCTGGAGATTTGAGCAGTCACCATTTCCAGATGACATGCCATCTTTTCCTTTCTTTTCTTTTCTTTTCTTCTTTCTCTGTTTCTGGCTGGGTCTCTTGTATCCCAGGCTAGCCCCAGATTCCCCATGGAGTTGAGGATGACCTTGAGTTTCTGATTTCTCTAGGCTCCTCCTCTTGAGTGTGGGGATTACAAATGTGTAATCCCATTCAGTTCTCTGAGGTATAGGGATGGAATCCAGGCTCTCGAGTATGGTAGGCCGGGACTCTAGCCTCATCCCCATCACTTCTCGGCAATCACCGCCGGCACCCTTGAGTCCCGTTTCAGTCAGTGTCACATGTTCGACGTTCCTTATCTCAGTTAACTATCACCCAAATCTCTCTTTTTGATAAGCACACACCCAAGAGCAGAAAGTACCTAGACTCCACAGAAGGGTTTTGTATTCCGAGGTCCACTCAGGCTAAGGATCCAGGACTGTTTAACTACGCCAACCCCAGTCCCTCAGTTTCACACCCCCACCCCAAAAGGCTCCAAGTCTCCCAGTGTAAGAGAACAAGGCTCATACTTTGATTCAAACTTCTGTTTCCAGCCTGGGATTGAACCTTAGCTCAATAGGCAGAGTACTTGTTTACCACACACAAAGTTACGGGGTCCCCAGGAGAGTAAAAAGGAGATGTGGAGGTGCATCCCAGGACTCAGGAAAGGGAGTCACAGAAACTAGAAATTTAATGTCTTCCATCATCATGATTGTGAGGCCGACCTGGGCTACATAAGACCATGTCTCGAGAAAGTGCAGAAGGGGAGAATAAGGGGACAGCTCAGTCAGTAATGTGGAGGACTTGAATTCGATCCCTAGAGCCCATGTAGAAAAAAAGCTGAGTGTAATGACCCACACGTGTAATCCCAGCACTGAGGGAGATGAATGGATCCCCAAGGCCTGCTAGGCACCCAGCCTAATCTAATTGATGAGCCACAGGTAAGGGATCTTATCTCAAAGTACAAAGTGGAGGGCTGCTTAAGAATAAAACCAGATTGACCTCTGGCCTCCACACACCTGTGTGCCCCCCCCATACACGTGCATACTGGGGCACAAATACACATGCATGCACACACTTAACCATACACAAATATGCGTACACACACACACACACACACACACACACACACACACAGAGGCAAACAGGTGTGCTTCCCATCAATTGGGGTGTGGATGGGGGTGTGGATGGCACTGGTATCAGTATTAGCCTAAAGCTCAGGGTCATACCTGCCACACGTCGTAGTCTTGGTGTGGCCCTCCATGCGGCTTCAGCCTCGAAGCATGGTCATCTCTCTTCCCTCCTCTTCATATTTTGATTGCAAATTTTTCATCGCTTATTTTGAGCAGGACTGGGGGTTCGATTCTTCACAGACTAGATGGGAGATGAATCGTGTAAAACTGCATGTTCTCTCTCTGTGTGTGTCTTGTTGTTGATGTATGCTCATATGTGTGGGAGGTTACGCACATGCATGGAGACCAAAAGAGGACATCGTGTACCCTACTTTATCGAGATCTGCCTTGTTCCCTCGAGGCAAGGTCTCTTGCTGAACCTGGAGTTGGCCAGTCAGTTAAGCCACAGCCATCCTCCTGCCTGTCCTCTTCCCTCAACAGCAATAGGGTTTAGACATATAGAAAGCCACACCTTGGCTTTTTACATGAATGCTACATATTCACACCAGGTCCTCAGGCTCGTGCCGCAGAGGTTCCGGCTCCCTAGTCCTTCCCCCAGCCCCTTTGTGTTATCTTTCAATGCTTTTATGCCACAGCCTCCACTTCCTCCTTCTGTCACGTGATGGTGCATAGTCTTTTCAAGGTATGTTTTGTTGTTTTTTTGTTTTTTTTTTCCTAACTGTGCACTTGACGACTTTGGAGCCTCTCTGGTAGAGGCGGTGGAGGAGGGGTGGCAGAAAGGATGGGAAACTGTCTCCTTCAACACAAAGCAAAACAAAACACAGGCAGTGTGGTTCTCCTCCCAGGTGGGGCTTTTTGAGGGTGCTTGTTGACACTCCAGAGGAGCAAGAGGTTGCCACCTGCATGAGTCACCCATCTCCCAACTTGGAAACTCCCTTCCAGGCTACGGGATGATGGAGGATGCCGGGCTAGGGGCACCTGCCTCCTGCCAGCTCCCTGTCCCAAGCCTAGAGATGAAACCAAAGAAGACTCCATTGCTCAGTTTAGCAGTGAAATCTATCCATTTGTGTGACACACATCTGACTTCACTGTCATTTCTCAGATGCCTAATGTGTGCTGAGCTTCTGCCTTTATCTTATTAATCTTCACAAATACTGGAAGGGGAGGTACAACTCTCCTCATTCTTTTTCAGAAAAGAGCCTGGGGTTTAGAGGCCACAGGGTAGTTAAGTGACTGGGTTGGGTTTGGGGCCTGTGCTCAGGACAGAGTACAGCTTCTGTAAGGAACAAGAAAGGTGTGGGGGTGAAACTTGGTAGAGAACTCATCTGGTATGCTGGAGGCCCTGGGTTCTGTCTCCTGCACACTGAGCACGTCTGTCCTCTCAGCACATGGGAGGTAGGGTCAGAAGCATCAGGAGCTCAACATCAACCTACACAGCAAGTCTGAGGCCGGGGAAGGAGGGAGAGATCCATCTTGACCCTGTAGAGACAACATGCAGTATGGGTAGAAAGCCAACAGGACCTGGAACCAAGGCCCTGCATTCTGGTTTTGGTTGTGTCCACGTGCGTGGCCTTGAGCAATGCTGAGGCTCAAGGCATCTCTGACGGTACAGTGTTCTGGAGTGAAACCAAGACTTATAAGGGTAAGAAGGGTAATGACCTTGGATGGATGACTGAAACTGATAAGAAAGTTCTGGGTGTGATTGTGGAAACTTACCTTCTCCTCACTTGAGGTCTCACACAGGAGGATGCAGACGTCTTGACCAGCTTGGGCTACATCCTGAGACCCCCACCCACCTCAAGAGAATCATCCACATGCAAGAGTTAGTTTTGTTTTCTCTCTCTCTCTCTGGGATCCAGGGATTGACCTCAGGTCCTCCAGCTGGTCGGCAAGCACCTTTACCTAATTCTGACCAGTCTCACTGGCCCCGGGGTAATATTTTACTGGTGGTGGTGGTGGCGATGGTAGGTTGGAGTGAAGAGCTGCGACAAGATCGGGAAGCGAACGGTCCAGGAGAAGGTGAATTGGGAATCACGGGGAAAGAGGGGGAATTGATACATGGAACCAAGCACCCAGTTCTTCCTGCAGCCTGCCCTGGGGGTGACTGTGCAGCCTCTCTTGCTGTGCCTGGTTGGCCAGTCAGAGTTAAGGTGCACGCATACTTCTTTCCACAATGTGACCTAGAATGTTGTTTTGAATGCCTGCCAGCTCCTTTGAGGTAACTGAGACACGGGCGGGCAGGCGGGCGGCACAAATCCTGAAAGGAGGGTCCCTGGGAGGACATAGACTTAAGTAGATGCCTGTTTGTGTCCTAGTTAATAGGTCTTTCTTTATGTAAAATAAGTGCGTGTGTAAAGTAGTCCCCTAAATCTTAATCCCCAGACCCAAAGATGAAGAACTGTCAATACTTTCAACAGCTCCAGTGACAGGAAATATTTCAAACTTTCTCCTAAAAACATACTGTCTTCCCTGTTGAAAGAGCTCTTCTTTATTCCAAGGTCAAGACTTTCCACCTTTCAGAATCGTGTGTGTTCACATCTGTGGAGCCCAGAGGTCAATGTCAGGTGTCTTTCTCAATTGCTTTCCACCTCACTTTTTGAGCCAGGGTCAAACGCACGCTCACACGCGCGCGCGCGCGCGCACACACACACACACACACACACACACACACACGTGTCTATGTCACCTATGTATATGGCATCTGTGTGTGCATGTGTATATGTGTGTATGACATATATGCGTGCATGTGTGTGAGAACGTGTGTGCATAATTTCTTTCTGGTGAAGGTGGGGGTGGGGGTGGGGTCTCATATATCCGAGGCTGGCCTCGAACTGAGAATACTCCTGCCACAGCCTCTGGAGTACTGAGACAGCAGATCCTGCAGCCGGGAACTAGAACAGACCCGGCTCTTGCTTCGCCGCAGCTGATTAGTGCCCTCCCGCGATCCAAGTGGACAAGGACCGAGTTGGAGCTGGGAGGTCCGCACAGTGCCGGGAGGGCCCCTAGGTTTGAGTCCTAAACTGCTCCACCCAGAGGCGCCACTGAGGCTGTTTACATCTCAGACCCCGCCCCCGGCGCCCAACGCAAGGCGCCATTGGACAGATGGCCCGTCGGTCTCCGGGGACTTTCCCAGGGGCGTGGCGTGGGCTCGGCATTTCCTGGTACGGAGCGGAGCTTAGGTTCTTAGAGTCTGGCTGCGGGCCCCGAAGCTCTCGTCCTAGGGTGAGCGGCGCCGCCGGGGGGGGATGGGCGGGCGGGAGGAGACCGGAGCCCGTGCGGGGCGCGCGGACTGGTGGCTGGAGTCCCGGTGTAGTGAGGTGTCGGCATCGCCGGGCTTCGGGGACTCCCGGCCCGCGGAGCCAGCCGGGCGCGCATGCGCACCGTGTGCGACGCGCTCCTGGGACCGGCTTGCGGACCCCAGCAAGCAAAGTTTGGAGGAAAATTTCATCACCGTAGCCATGCTTTATTGGTCGATTTCCAGCTAGTCTTTTCTTGTTTGTTTCGAGACAAGGTCTTAATTGTGTAGCACTGTCTGGTCTGGAACTAGCTTTATAGAACAAATTGGTCTCGAACTCGCAGAGACTCTCCTGCTTTAGCCTCCCGAGGAGGATGGAGGATGAAAAGCTCGCAACCGTATGTTGATCCAGGCTTTTAGTGTGAAACTCACCCAACTGTACCATTCAGTCTGAGCATGACTGTTAATTTATACCTATTTTTGCATGTAAGGTTGTAGACAGACAGCTGGCCTGAAACCTTGCCACCTGCGGGTTCCTAGGATTGATCAGGTCCTCAGGCTCGGTGGCCAGCATCTTTATTGGCTATCTAACCAGCCCTTCTCCATGAATGTTACCTTATATCTTCACCTCACCAGTGAGGAAACCCAGGTAACTTGCAGATTGGGATCACACAACTACTGAGTTTTAAAGTCAAGATTTCCAAACAAGCCTTTGGGCTGCAAAGCCCCTTTATTGAGCTCCTTTTGCACATCGCTGGAGGCGTGTGTGCTCCCAGGTTCTGGTTGAGTCTGGAACAGTGAGACTCATACGGTGAGTTTCGGGGAATGATTTAGGAGCGATCGTTTTTTGTGCTTTGGGCTGGATTCAGCAGCCTTGCACTGTGAGACGTGTCTGTGCCTCTGCGTGAGATCACGTGTGTGGAAGTGGCTGTGCTGTGCATGTATTCATCTTGTGCCCGGCAGTGGGTGGGAATTTGGTGCTGTCAGTGAGGAACTGTTTTGGTAAGAGGGAGGGAGGGACTTTCGTGGGTGAAGCAAAAGTCTCCGCAGCGGCGGTCCCCACCCCCTTGCTGAAGAATGACCGTGTGGGAAACCGTGTGGTTCCTGATGCATCATTTGATTTCACAGTCAGTCAGAGTGGGATTTGATCAGCTCTTACTCATGCTACCAACAATGAGGGGTGTGGTAGAGGGGAATTCAGACTCATGAGTGGACAGTCAGGGGCCTCTTAGAATTGCTTTTTGGTCCTTGACAAAGGACATTATGTGAGGAGAGTGGAATACTCCAGCTAGCTAAGCAGGCTCAGTATCCCTTTGTACCTAGCAAATGGCCTGTGAAACTCACCCATAATGATAATTCTAGTAATGTTACACTTACAAATTTTTTAAACTTGTGGTTTTTACATTCAGGAAGTCATTTGTTTTAATTTTATTTATTTATTTATTTATTTTATTGGGACAGAGTCTCACAGTCCGGGCTGTGACCTCCTGGTCCTCCTACCTCTCCCTGTTGGGATTATAGGAGTGTTCTAATCATGTCTGGCTCTCATTTATTCTTTCTGACCTGATGCTAGTCTCAGGTTTCCGCTAGGCCCTCCGTTGTTTTTCTGTTTTGACGTTTGTTCGTTTGTACTTAAATGGGGGTGCGTGCATGGCAGGGCACCCGTGTGGAGGTCAGGGAACAGCTTTCAGGAGTTGGGTCTCTCCTTCTACTATATGGGTTTCCAGGCTTGAATTCCGTTTATCCCTCTTGGTGGCAAACACCTTTACTCACTGAGCCATGTGGACAATTCTGAACTGTGTTATTTTGCTTTATTTTGTAACAGTGTCTTCATGGCCCAGGCTGGCCTTGAATTCACTTTGTAGCAGAGGATGACCTTGAATCTCTGATTCTTCTGCATCTGTGTTTGCCTGCTGGGATCAGAGGCTTGCACTACTATGCCTGGCTTATGTGGTACTGGGGGTTGAACCCAGGGCTTCATTAGCGCTCGGGAAGCACTCCTCCAGCTGGGCCACACTCCTAGCCTCAAGGGCTCTTCTCTTTTTCCTCTGGCTTAGACTGTCATCATGCCAGTGTTGTGGGAAAATATTTAGGGTTGTGCTCTTTGTGGACACATTTAATCCTGTCCCTCTGAGAGCAACAGATGGGAGTGTTCTGCATATTTATATACATATGGTCAGGCTGTCCCCGCCACGTGGGTGTCCTGTGTGGGTACGGTATAGCTGGCGGTGGGTCCCTGTCCCTGGATGCCCATAGCAGCTCCCGTGGGGCCCCAGGAAGCCATGGGTCTGACTCATTCCTTCACCCCCAGTGCTGCTGTGCCTCTGGCCCGGATGTCCTGGCTGGGTCAGGCCGACCTGGTTTGAGTATGACGGTGCTCTAAAGGTTGTTTGTCTGCCTCCCTTCACTGGGTACCGGCTCCCTTCTGTGCCCAGTGTGATTTGGCAGACCTTGCTACCTGCTTTTTCCCAGCTCTGTGTGTGCTCAGCTCGTTCACATGCTGAGTCCACCTCACACCTGGCATCCCAGTGCCCGGAATGCAGTTCCCAGCCCTTCCCGTGTCTGCTTTTTTTCCTTATCAAGTCTCAGCTCAAATGTCACCTCCTCAGAGGGGGCCTTCCCTGCTCTTCGTATGCAAAGCACAGCCCCCTTTCGCTTTCTGACACGTTACTACTTTTCGCATTCGTTTATCATGATCTAAAGTAAGTCTATTTGTGAGTCGAGTATGCTAGTGCAGGCGTTTACTCCCTGTGCTCAGGAGGCAGAGGAGGGCAGAGCCCTCTGAGTCCAAGGCCACCTTGGTTTATATAGAGCGAGTTCTAGGATGGATCGCTGGGCGGGGGGGGGGGGGGTTCCCAGTGTCCCTCTGAGCTTTCAGCTGGGCAGTGTTCAGGCTGTACCTGTGTGTGAGAGCCTGGCTTTGTCTTCCAGGGCTCCTCCTGGCTGGCAGCACTTCCTGACAGCATCAGGAGCTAGGGGGCAGTGAATAAGGCTAGCCACCGTGGATGTGGCTAGAGTATGAAGGGACGCCTGATTGGTCTAGTGGGACTTCCAGAGGTAGGTGATGGTAAGGGTGGGCCCTGGTAAAGTACAGCGCAGGGCCTAGACCTCTTAGGGGGCTGAGTGGACGCAGCAGATATGGCGTGAGGTCATGGTTGGTTGGGGAGCTGCCAGCTAGACTAGGCAAGACCCCCAAAATAACCACCCGTCTGTGTTAGCTCCTGGTGCAGACCAGGTGGTTGCTGCACTCCTTACTTCTTCATCTAGCTCCAAGGCCGTGTCACTGCAGCGCGGTGGGGGATCTCTCTGCCGATTGGCTGAAGTTGTTGCCGAGGCTGTTGAAATCTCAGCCACAGGTGGCAAGTGACTCTACTTCCCAGGCGTCTGGGTCGGTCACCTCCAACCCTCTCCTGGCCTGTGTTCTCTGCAGAGTCTTCTCTGAATAACTTGTCCTTTGCTCTGTCCCAAATGTTGGGCCTAGGATGTGGCTCAGTTAGCGGAGCGTTTGCCCTACCGTGAGTGAAGCTTGGGTTCCAGTCCCAGGGCTGCATAAATCAGATGTGTTCGTGAACACCTATAACCCAAGCGCCAAGAAGGTAGTGGCAAGAGAACCAGAAGTTCAAGGTCATTCTTCACTAATGTTTTGAGTTCAAGGCCAGCCCCATCTCAAAAATCCAAATGAAATGAATTCTCCAAATGGTAAAAACTCAGTCTCAGGACCCTTCTTGTCCATTCATTGGATGGTCCTCATTGGCTCCAGCAGGACCAGGCCTTCCTGTGCCTCCCTGCTGATGTGTCTGGCTTGCCTCTCTGCTCCCTGCCTACCTTGACCCACAGTGGCGGAGTGTTGTCATGTCCCCCGCTGCAGGCAGGCCTCTAGCAGCCACGAGGCTGCTAAAGGAAATCTGTGTGCTTCCCATGACCTCCACAGGACAGTCACCCCAGTGACTGGAAAGGATGACTAAGGAGTGGCTGGCTCCTTTCTGTCAGCTGTCCCTTCAGGGCTGCCTTCCCTCACTGACCTTGTCCCCAGACTGTCCCCTGAGCCCTGGGCACTTTCTCTGCAGAGCACAAGGGTTGACAGACCAAGGCCTCCATCTTGGCAGGTGAGTGGGAGAGTGGGGTGGAGCTGGGGAGTACTGGCTCTGGGGAGTCTCCAAACCCAGAGTTGGCTTTTGTAGGGTAGTGGAGCCCCTGACTCAGGGGGCCTCAGTTTTGCCCCCACCCCATCTACACCTGTCCTGCTCTGGGTGCCTCAGCTCTGTCCTTCACCTGGCCAGCTTTGGCTCACCACCAGTCACTGTGTTTTTGAGACAGGCTTTCTCCCCGTGGCCTAGGACTCACCAGTTAGGCTAGACTGGCTGGCCAGTCAGTTCTGGGGATTTACCTATGTCTACCTTCTCAGCTCTAGGATCACAGACAGTGCCCCGAGGCTGGCCTTGCATTCATGCTGAGCTTGCAAGTGTGAGCCATCCTGCTTGGCTTATGGCTTTTTAAATTTTTTATTACATTTATTTATTGTGTGTCTGTTTAAAGGTCAGAGGACAACTTATAAAGGAGTTAGTTCACTCCTATCACATGGGCTCCTGAGATCAAATTCAGGTTATCAGTTCAAGAAACAAGCTCCTTTACCCAGCCAGCCATCACACACACACGCACACACCACCTTTAAATGTGTGTTTTGGGGCTCAAACTCAGGTTTCCATGCTCATGCGGGAAGCACTTTACTGACCGAGCCACTTCCCAGTCCTCTCTTGTGTTTCTCCCAGCTTTAATATGAATGTGTGCATCCCTGATCAGTGTGTTAACTGTGTTTTGTGTTATAAATGTGTTCTGAGCAGCCTCACTGTCCGATTCTACAACTTGCCTGTGAAAGAGAAGCATTCAAGTTTGCATCTGCAACCCCATTCCTTTTCACTGCTGTGCTGTATTTCCTGAGACATCTCCACAGCGCGTTGATTCCGTTTCCTTTTCATGGGCCATTTGC